ATATATATATAATTTTCATCTAAATTAGAGGAGGAACCTAAGTTTTTCCTTTTCACAAACTAATAATATGTATGATTCGCTAAAAATCATAATATTGAACATGATAAATATAATATTTCATGTTTGATTTATAAAATAATCATGGAATAAGATAAAATAGATGAGAAAAAGATTGAACAAAAGTTTTATTTTTTGTTACGCGATAAAACATGAAATAACTTTTTATCTTAATAAAACTTTTTGGTACAACACCATCTTGACTTTTATCATTATTGTCCAACACCAACACCATCGATGCTACTTACCACTATTGTTATTGACCACAACTGTCATTATAATCCACAACTATCCTATTCTATCACCATTGTTGTTGTCTTTGTTGCCATCAAAACCATCATCAGATTCAACACTAATATTATTATCATCACAATTTCTACTACTGTCATTTTTATTAATATAATAATAAATCATTGTAATAATTAATATTAAAAAAGAATTTTATAATAAATTTAACATCATTTTATTTGAATCACTCATTATTTACTAAATAACATACATAATAAAAAATTGACCAGTAACTTAAATATTTATTGTGTGTTTAATCACTTTATGGTATACTTTAATATGTAGCGAAACCTAAGGACATTATAATTGGATTACCTCAAAAGGGAAGAGGCAGAAAAGCCCATAGGATGGCCCCCACAAAATCATTGACACATAATGCAACCTTTTCCCAAGCCCATTCCACGAGCCCACACGCTGGCCCTCACGCACGCACACAGCTATTGAACACAAAAGCGTGTCCTTTGCATAAAAACAAACAAGCTAATTAGTGCTAATTACTCTTCTCCCCTTCATTCATTATTATGCATCGTTGACCATTGGGGATTTGACCCTCCAAATGCTTGCAAGAAAGAAAGAAAGAAAGAAGTGGCATCACCAAAACAAAACAACCTATCCACTACGGTTCCCTTTGAGAACGAACGAACGTGTCTCCTCTTCATATTCATAATATTTATAGTACCATTGCGATCATAACGACAAAAACAATGAACCAGTGATGCTTCTTCTTCTCATACTCTCGCTGCAATCCCTCAAACCCACCTAACCCAAACCCATTTCAATTCTCGCACCCCCCATTTTCTTACCCTTTCTCTCTCCATTCTCTTATTTATTATTATTACACACATCACAATTTCCCTTGAAGGGAAAAAAAAAAACCCTAAAAATTTCGTTTTTTTGGATCCACAAAGGCCACCCCCCGGATCTCCAATCCTCTTGATCACTACGAAGTTCTAATTTTTTACGTTTTTGGCGAAGTGGGTCGTTGTTATATACGTGGTTTCTGATCTGGGATTGATTCAATTTGGGGGTTTCTGGGTTTGTGATTGAAATGGTCTATTTCCATAGCTCAATCTCTCTCTGCAACTCCTCCGTTGACCAACCCATGGCGAATTCCCTCGATTTCGGCTCGAAATCGAGGCACCGGAAAACCCCCAATTCCCTCCAGGCTCCGCCGTGCCGGCGATCCCGATCAGTGGTGGCCGACGTTGTGATTTTCGTGGCGATCATCACGGCGTTTGGATTCCTATTGTTCCCCTACGCCCAATTTGTGGCCAGTGAGAGTGTCAAAATTGGTGTTGTGGCTGTGAATTTGATCAAAGAAGAGGTTTCTGTGGCCCCTTGGGTTTACATGTTCATAGGGGTTAGTGTTACCTTTGCTGCATTGACCACTTGGGTTCTTGTGGCTTGCACCACAAGGAAGTGTGGGAACCCCAATTGCAAGGGTCTAAGGAAGGCTGCAGAGTTTGACATTCAGTTGGAGACTGAGGATTGTGTGAAGAATTCACCTTCATTGGCTAAGGATGGTGGAGTTAAGAAGGGGCTGTTTAAGCTTCCTTGTGATCACCACCGCGAACTCGAGGCCGAGCTCAAGAAGATGGCACCCCCCAATGGAAGGGCTGTCCTTGTCCTCAGAGCAAGGTGTGGCTGTTCTGTTGGTAGGTTGGAGGTTCCAGGACCGAAGAAGAATCGAAAGATCAAGAAGTAGGATACATAAAAGAACAAACAAAGGAGAGGATAATTGAACACAGAATGTAGCCTTAAATATTTGGCAGAGGAGTTGGTTATAGTTATATGGTCATATTTTATTTAGGTTGTCTTTTGAATAAGCCCCTCCACTGTGGCAATAAGTTGTAAGGAACTATGGATCATACACAGTTTGGTTATTTATACATGGGAATATAAGAATCCGTTTATTTGAATTGGTTTACTTCATTGTTCTCTCAGATTTGGTGTTTCTGATTTCTTATTATTGTTTCTCATAGTTACAGTTTTTCATTCTATTGGTAAGTGGATGCGCAGGATTATAATTGCCACTCTTTTTGTAGAGTACAGGTTGTGATGGAGTAAGTTGTTGTTCTGATCTTATGAATGGACAGTTGAATTGTGCCTAGTGGAGATCCACTTTTAGAGTTGTAGTTTTGAGCATAACTGATTCATTGAAATTCAATATTTTCTCTTGTACCTGATTCTTCAGTACATTGCTATGCACTTTCTCCATTAATTATGTGGATTTTTATTGCATTGGTTGCTGTCGAAGATGGGCTCTTCTAGGAGAGGTTATACCTGTGATGTGAACCATGGAGTGGATTGCTCAAGTACCAGATTTTACAGTAAACTCTGGTTTTCTATATGATTTTTTTTTAGGAAAATAGAATTCACACATGAAGGGAACGGCAAAAAAATAACATTGAGGGTGTTGTTATTCCTTTTGTCGGTGTCTCATTTAAGTTTATTGTATCTAATACCTTGCGCTTGTTAATTGGATTCTTATTTATCTTTTTGCATCTTGTGGCGTGTTCTCGACTTCATAATATGCAGCTTGATATCTAATATTAGAAAGGCTATTAGTTATATACAGCAAAACAATATTGGACTACGAAACGTGGCTTTCAGCCTTTTGCCTTTTTTCTCCTACCTCTGTTCCCCCCATTATACTTGGTTAATACATCTATTATGTTGGCATAGCCTTTCTAGTTAACCAACAATGTGTGTAGCACAAGTGGTATATAACATTGTCCTTTAAGTATGTGGTCAGGGATTTGATCTATGGTAGGTGCGTTTGGAAAATATTTGTTGGAGAAGTCAACCCTATAAGTGGATTTTAGTATATTGGGAGATTATTTTTCAGTGTTCGGCTGGGAGATACCTTGATTTAAAAAATATGCCTTTCTAGTTATTGCTGGCACTTGCTTAGATTGAATTTTGGGCCCTGCAAGTGGCTTTCAACCTTTTGCCTTTTCCCCCTTCCTCTTATTCTCCCTTTGAAATATTCTTAGTTATTTAGTTAATATATCCATTATGTTGGCATAGCCTTTCTAGTTATTACTGGTACTTGCTTAGTTTGATTTGGCTTCAAATATTTCCACATCATAGTGTTTATCTTATTTAGAAATATTCCCAAGACAAGGTTAATGGCAAAGCAAATGTCATGTTTGCTGATCAAATCCATTTGATTTGTGTATGCAGATATATGTTCAAATGTGGCTAGCATTACATTGGCTTCTTTCATTTGCAATAGCCTTAAAATCTTGTTATTGCACAAGTGATTGTCTTCTGTAGTTGGTGATAACTGGAGGGATAATATGCTATTCTCAGATGGCATAACAAACTGATTTCTAGTTTTCAACATGTGTATGTTTCTTGATGTTAATTTATAATTCACTGAGCCAAAAAATAGTTAGTACATTTTAATCTTTACTGTGATTGAGGAAGAGAGGGAAAGA